ACATTTGTAGCTGACTGTAGAGGATCCCAGGAACTGCTTACAGTGCAATACAAAAAAACACAGTCCCACTTTATAACATACTCCTGCCTTTTCCTTTTCTGTTAAAACAACATGCCAATAGTAATAGCAGTGAGAAGAAATCAATAAGGCATGTCTTCTATCTGCACTATGGTGATCATAGGCTGGAGCAAGATTGGAAAGTAGGTCACTGCATTTGTAAGTCTTTTACTTGGTTTTGATACAACATAAGTGCAATAAGCTTGTGGACTAAGTTTTCTGAGTTGTGCTCAGAAAGGATGGATGCTGACTCTGCTTTTTCAGGAATGATTAAACCCAAATAATTCTCCCTTAAAAATACAGAAAAGATACATGCAATTTTTCCTAACAGAGCCCTGTGGGAGGCTGAGCATCCTCAATTCTGATTTAGTTGAGAGCACGCTACACCTCTCAGCTTTGGCAATGAGGGGCCAAAGCTAAAAGCAGAAAGCATTAAGTATTCATAGTTTTCTTCTGTACCCTCACAGTTTTTTATCTATACACTTAACTATCATCTACTGTTGCTTACCTGTTTAGTTCAGTGAACCTACTCAAGATCTCCAGTAATGGTGCCGTCCTTATTTGCTTACCTTTATTTAACCACTCCGAGAAGTGCTGCTATGGTCTTAATGATACGCCTGTTGAGCATTTGGTTTTCCAAAAGACTATGCGAATTTTAAAAAGTAAATGTGTTTTCTAATTTTCCTGGATATGTTGTTAAACTGCAAACTTAACATTGTAAATGGCTTTTTTTGAAAAAACAACATATTAGAGACTGTTTTTGTAAGCTCTCATAAGGCTCAGTCAGGGAACACTTCAGATGAGACTGAAGGGTATACTTCACTGCTTTCTCTCCAGCAGCTTAAACCTTCCACAGGGAAACTAAGATTTCATAATCTAAGAATTTCAATTCAAAAAAGAAATATTCTACTAACAGTTGTAGCTCAGTAATACAGGCTACACAACAAAGAGCGAAGAGCCAGATTTTTTTCTCATTTGTGCTGGCTAATCTAGAAGTAAGACTATTCAACAAGTGATACTGGCTTAAAAAGGGTACAAATGAGCAGTCAGACAGGCCAATAATTAAAAGAGCAAGTTTAGCATGAATTCTCACCACTACAATCTTTTACTGTTGTGGATATAACTTTGCTGACTGTTCATCAGTTACCCAGTAGTAAATGATGATTTTGAAAGAGGAATTCTGCAGCTCTGTAGATTCTGTCCAGCTGTAAATAACCAGACAGCTTTCAGAGCCAGCATGGCTCTGTCTGCCTTGCAGGAGTTCCAAGAAGTCTTTGGACTTAGATGGGTCTGGCTCTTTACCAGCTCTTACACAATTCAGAAGGTGTGCAGTGAGCTCCTTCAGAGCTGGCTTGATGGTAGAAGGTGACGGAAGAGCATTGACTGGCCATATGATTACTGCCCATAAGTAGCTCATTCCCCACCAGTTGTGAAATGGCTCCTGTAGTTTTGTCACAGTTTCTCAAGTTACCCATCTGCATAGGTCAAACAGTGAACCTAAATATTAACTAGTGATCCTGATCTTATGTCTTCCTTCTACCCTGTGTTTTGCCCTGTCTTATCCTTCCAAACAATGAGTAATCTCATGTAGGGAACCTCTGCAGGGACAAGACTATTGTCTCACATACTCTTGTGCTCAGAACTCTCCTGCTGCTCCTCACCTGCAAGCTGAGTCACGAATTGCCCCTTTAGTCAACCACAGAAGCATGCAAGTCTTTCGGAAACTTGCAATCACGACACAGGCATCATTATACAAAAAGATGAAGTGTCATAACCCATTTACTGAGTCTCTGCCTTCTAAGAAGTGACAGAAAATTTGCATCTGAAGTGACAGGGGAAAAAAATAAAACTAAACAAGCAAACATTTGTCATTTTCACCCTCAAAATATTGTGAGCACCCCTAATCAGAATTGAAAGCAAGAGCCTTGTAGTGCTGAGTGTTATGAACTACTCCCTGGCCCTAGTTTACAATGTTCTTAACTCATATCTATACTGTTAGAAATGCACTATGAGGGAAAGATGCAAAATATGACTTTGCCACAACGAAAAATCTCACTTTTGTGAAATATTATTCCAACAAAATGACAAAAGGTATTCCAGACAAGGCAGCATATGCTATTTAAAAAAATTATTTAAAAGCCCCTGGTCACTTGATGTTGGAAAGGATAATTTTAAAGAGGAAAGATAGCAGATAATTTGTGGGTCAAAGCGACTTGAAAGCTAATCCCAGTAAATCAATGAACTTCATGGAGGGCCTTTCAATGTGATCTTCAGCAATTAATGGAACACGTTACAACCATGTTCCTGAGTATACCGTGAGGAATAAAGTTGTACATAATAATAGGCAGCAGGCAACACAAATTTTATGCAGAGCTTCTCTGCAACTGTTCCTGGAAAACTTCTGTTTTGCAGACTAGCTTGAATGTGTTCAGATGTTTTCACATAATGGGAGTAATCCTTCAAAATGCTAAGTCTCTTACACAGGTGTCGAGCACTGTCAGCTCTCACTGGCCTCAATTTAAGGACACCAGTAGTATGCAAGATAAGGTTCTTTGCAGATAAGACAGAACAATCAAAGAGTAATTTCCAACTGCATACGAGAGTTTCAATTGTGGGACTCAGGTATAAGAAGTCAGAGGCCTTGGTTTGTACTCCAGCCCTAGATTCACTTCCCAAATGATCCTGAATAAGAGAAATACGTGGCTGTACTCCAAGTCTCTCATATAATACACACCCATTGATGAGGTTCCCCCAGAGAGACCTGAAACAGTAGCAGCCAATATGCACTGACAAGAAGAAATCTTTGTAAACTGTGTGAAGACCACTGATCTAAGCTTCCTCCCACTGGCACGTTAGGAAACGAATATATCATCTTTACAGTTTTGAGAGTAAGACACTTGCGCAAAAAGCTGTTCCTACCTTCTGTTTGAGCTCACTAGTTTCATTGATGAAACAATCTCTCTCCTTCTCCAATTGGTAAATAATCTTCCTTTGTTTCTGAGCTTCATTCTTATAATTTTGGATTTCTTCTTGCAAGTTCTTCTTCGACTGTTCATGGAGCTTCACCAAATTTATCTGCTTCTGAGTGGCACTGGTAGCCTTGACCAAGTTCTACAGCGGACACAAAATAATGACTCTTGAGCTGAAAAGGCAACATTGCCACCACTGACAAAAACATGCCATTGTCTAAGTGGATTACGGACTTCCCAATGTTATTACCCCTTATCTAATTTGTTCAGTTGAAATACTTGAGCCTCCAATCTGATTTTTAAAAAATCTCTAACAGAGCTGCTAAATAGTGCTTTTTCTGATTTGAGGTTAAAACACTAGTGTCTGCATTACAAAAAAAATGGATAGGATTGTTTACAAGTGGATATAACTAATGACTGGAAAAACCTTACCAGCTTTAAGGCATTTAGATTGTAAAGCATGCCAATAGCCAGTAAAACAAATAATAAAGCCAAATACTCTTCCTTCTCATGTCCTAAATAGCAAGTTCAAACTGTAAATTAACCAAGCTTGGTTTAAAATTATGCATAAGGATTAAACAGAAAACACCAATATACCATCTTTACAAAATCACCTTTCTGGTCCCACTTTGAAATTTCTTTCCC